AGTAATCCCACAGACTGTGAAATGTGCTGCTTTAAGTATTCTTCCCCAAGGGAGTTTTACTTAACGGTATTATTTCTTGAATCCACAGATTCCCGTGTACCCTTCTTTTTGCTTTATTTACACTTCCTTTTTCACCTCAAGGAGGAAGGAGAGGCTATGGCTCAGTGGCAGAACATCTGCTTGGCATGCAGAAGGCCCCAGGTTCAATCCCCAGCATCTCCAGTTAAATGGATCAGGCAGTAGACGAGGCGAAAGACCTCTGCCTGAGACCCCGGGGAGCCACTACCAGTCTGAGTAGACGGATACTGACTTTGATGGACCAAGAGTCCGATTCAGCATAAAGTAGCTTAATGTGTTCATATGTGTTCAAAGAGAACTAGGGGACACAGAGTGATTGGGGCTCCTTTAAAGGGCCATAAGTGTCCTATCAGACCTCCAACAGCGGCGAATACATCAAGTCAACAAAACCCTTTGCAAGTAAATAGTGAGCTTTGGTGCTTCACCAGCACAATCCTGAATACAGCTCCACCCTAAATCCACCGAAGTCAATGGGTCTTGGTGGTGGGAAAGCACTATCAAGTTGTAGCTGACCTACGGAGACCCCTCATGGGGTTTTCAAGGCAAGAAAAGTTCAGAGGTGGTTTGCCATTGGCCCAAAGGCAATGGGTGGTGGAAAACACTATCCTCGTTGTGACGATGGTCTCTGGAATGTTCTATCATTTCGATACTCTTCTTCTTCTGAAAGTGGATGCTTGGTGGTGGAAAACAGTATCCTCGGTGTGACGATGGTCTCTGGAATGTTCTATCATTTCGATACTCTTCTTCTTCCGAAAGTGGATGAAAGCGCTTTGCCCTAGGAACATTCTTTCAGATAATTTCTTGCAACTAAGTTATGATACATCAGTGAATATTAATGACATTTTTGATACCTACTTGTTGAAATGACAGACCAAGAGTCGCTGCTTTCATCCACTTTCGGAAGAAGAACAGTATCGAAACGATAGAACATTCCGGAGACCATCGCCACACCATTTTCAATTGCCTTGTACATTTACACCATTTTCAATTGCCTTGTACATTTATATATGTAGATTTTTTGTACACATTTTTGTATAAATTTTGTGATTGTTATTTAAATATTTTCTAGCGCAGTTACCTCACAGTTTCTTCTTCTTTTTTCGGTCTGTTCTGTGACTGTGGCCATCATTTTTGAGCCAGAGTTCTCTCAGCCCCACCTACCTCCCAGGGTGTCTGCTGTGGGGAGGGGAAGGGGAAGGAGTTTGTAAGTCGCTCTGAGACTCCAAGTGAAGGGCGGGGTATAAATCCAATCTCTTCTTCTCTTCTACCTGGCATTACCTTTTATGACACACATGGCCCGGCCCAACAAGGTCTCGTTTATGTCAGATATGGCCCTCATGACAAATGCGTTCGCCACCCCTGCACAGGATCTGCCTGGAGAAATCACCTAAACGGGAGTCAGAGTTGTTCCATTGGTGGAGCCGCAGGGAATGCGGTGTGCAAGTGAAATAAGGACACAAATTGATTATGGAACAGGACCAGAGTTCAAAATTTGGTGGAGCCGCAGAGAATGCAGTACGCAAGTGAAACATGGCCACGGATTGATTATGGAACAGGGCTTTAAAAATTGGTGGAGCCTCAGAGAATGCAGTGCACAAGTGAAACATGGACACGGATTGATTATGGAACAGGATTTTAAAATTTGGTGGAGCCGCAGGGAATGCAGTGCACAAGTGAAACATGGCCACGGATTGATTATGGAACAGGACTTAAAAGTTTAAAACCTTGGGAAGTCTTTCAAGACGCTCAGCACCGGCACTTTACCTTTTCTATGCAATTATAAGAAGGATGTTAGCACTACTTATGAAACATTTATGACTGCTTACACTAAATTTATTATTCATACTACAGTTGTACGCAATTTGATTGTTTCTCTTCACAGCACTGGCAAGCGGCTGAGGGCATAACGACATGTTATGGCCAACATACTTGGGGTCACAGTATGGGGCTGCACTCATATCAGTGGGACTCACCTTAAAAAGCACTCGTTTGCTTAGTACGGGGGGGGGGGAGTTTCCCTCTCAACCACCTACATGCCAGCAGAAACAGCTTTGGCTCTATACACCCTCAGAAGGAGCATTTCCAGGGCTATTTTTGGGCAGGAACGCACAGGAACGGAGTTCCAGCTGGCTCCCAAGTTGGCCACGCCCAGTAGGAGTTCATTAGCATAACAGGCCACACCCAACAGCAGAAACTCATTAGGATTGGCTATATTAGGGGTGTGTGGCCTAACATGCAAAGCAGTTCCTGCTACAAAAAAGGCCCTGGGTTTTGACAACAAACAAGGTCAACAGAATAAGAAGCAAAAGGTGGGTGTGGCTGGATAACCACACTTCTGGTAACATGTGGGTGCAGCCTAATGTGCTAATGAGCTGTGCTGTCAGGGGTGTGGCCTAATATGCTAATGAGTTCCTGCTGTTGGGTGTGGCCTATTATGCTAATGAGTTCCTGCTGGGCTTTTTCTACAAAAAGAGCCCTGAGCTGCATTTCCATTCGCTCGGTTAAATTCTTTCCCCTTGGCCATACTTGAAGGCCGATTCGCAGGCCTAACGGATTTGGACCGAGTTTGGAAAGGCGGATCTGTTCAGCTCGAGTCCTTAGCACATATTTTATTGGCAATCTGGTCTGATTGGGGAGAAAGGTACGTGTCCTCCCTCTTAATTGGAGAGAAAGGTATTTGTCCTCCCTCTTAATAACTTATCATCTCAAAAAAAAAAATCATCCAGTTTTTCCTTGTCAATGAGGATTGGAAAACTACCTTAGCAGTTGCTATACGATTAGCTACAGTGATTGCCTGTGAGAGGGTTGCATCTCCATCTGCTCAAGACCTTTGGGTCAGAAGAACAGAAAGATACAAAAAAAAGAGAGGTTAAAACATTAGAAGAGAGAAAAGAGAAGACGAGATTAGATTTATACCCCGCCCTTCACTCAGAGTCTCAGAGCGATTTACAATCTCCTTCCCGTCCTTTCCCCACAACAGATACCCTGTGAGGTAGGTGGGCCTAAGAGATTTCTTTCAAGAACCGGGACTGCTCTTGAGAGAACAGCTCTGAGAGAACTTGTGACTGACCCAAGGTGATCCAGCAGCTGCATGTGGAGGAATAGGGAATCAAACCCAATTCTCCAGATTAGATTCCGCCACTCTTAACCACTACACCAAACTTAACTGCTACAACCGTATACCAACTGGTTGCACACCAACTACAGGACAACACCACCTTTATGAAAGACTGATACCATCTTGTAATTTTTTTCGGTGACCATCTTGTTTCTTAGTAAAGGTAAAGGTTCCCTTGCTCGAAAGCCAGTCGAGTCCGACTCTAGGGTTGCGGTGCTCATCTCCGTTTCAAAGCCGAAGAGCCAGCGCTGTCCGAAGACATTTCCGTGGTCATGTGGCCGGCATGACTAAACACCAAGGTGCACGAAACGCTGTTACCTTCCCACCAAAGTGGTACCTATTTATCTACTTGCAATTTCTTGCTTTTGAACTGCTAGGTTGGCAGGAGCTGGAACTAGAGACGGGAGCTCACTCTGTCATGCGGCAACTCGGGTCTCGAACTACTGAACTACCGACCTTCCACAGCCTGCAGTTCAGCTTGTGTTGATGATTACTGGTTTTACTGTTTTTATGTTTTTGTGCGTGGAAACTTTTTGCTCTTTGTAAGCCACCCTGAGCCTGCTTGTGGGGAGGGCGGGATATAAATGCTAAAATAAATAAAAAAATAAAATAAATCTGAAGTTAGCCTTAGGAAGGATATGTGGAGATAGAGAACAGTGGCAAAAGCCACCTTTTTCACTGGCCCTCTCATAGCACTGAGCAAATGAAGAAGAAGAAGAGATTGGATTTGTACCCCGCCCGTCTCAGAGCGGCTTACAGACTCCTTTCCCTTCCCCTCCCCACAACAGACACCCTGTGAGGTGGGTGGGGCTGAGAGAACTCTGACACAAATGGCTCTTTTTCAAGGACAGCTGTGCCAGAGCTTGTGACTGACCCAAGGTCACATCAGCAGGTGCAAGTGGAGGAGTGGGGAATCAAACCCGGTTCTCCCAGATTAGAGTCCACACACTTAACCACTACACCAAACGGGCTCTCCAAATGAACACTTTCTAAGGTGAGTTCCCCCAATTTATGTCTGACTGTGAGTCCAGTCACATACTGTGACCTGACATTTGTCAGGCATATTGTGTGGTTATGCCCTCAGCCACCTATCAGTGCCATAAAGAGAGCACAAGGGGTCAGAACCAGTGTTCCCTCTAAGCTGAGTTAGGGTGAGCCAGCTCACAGTTTTTTAGCCTCCGGCTCACACATCTTTTGTCTTCGCTCAGGAAGGACGGGCTCCAGAGCAAAGTAATTCATGCAGTAGCCCAATCGCTCGCTCACAACTTTAATGCCGGCAGCTCACAAAGTAGAATTTTTTGCTCAAAAGACTCCACAGGCTTAGAGGGAGGAGCATTGGTTAGAAATGGCTCTATTTCTCGCTCCCGCAGATGGGATGAAAAATACAACTGTCCAATGTTCCCTCTAAGCTGTGGAGTCTTGTGAGCAAAAATTCTAATTGTGAGCTCCTGGCATTCAAGTTGTGAGCGAGCGATTGGGCTACTGCATAAATCAGGTTTGCTCTGGAGCCCTCCTTCCTGAGCCAAGAGAAAAAACTGTGAGCTGGAGGCTAAAAAACTGTGAGCTGGCTCACACTAACTCAGCTTAGAGGGAACACTGCAACGGTCCCTTGCATCGAAGGCCCTGGGGTAGAAACCTAGGCCTCAGAGCCTGAATCAGCGGTGTGTCACTTAAATCGTTACCAGAGGGTTGTTTGTGGTGAACAAGTGAGAGGTCAACCAACAGAATCAATTTCAAAACCATTCAATATAGAGAAGAACAGCACATTCTTGCGTATGCGAGAGTCAGATTTCCCCATTCTTACCTGTCCACCGCAATCGCCAAGAGCGCATTGGTAGAGACGTAGAGGGAGACGGTGCGCAGGTAGTTGACGGAGGCGCACAGCACGTGGCCGTGTTCCCAGGACAGCTGCCGCACCACGTAGTAGTCCATCTCGAACGGGCAGCAGACGATGGCCACGATGAAGTCGGAGATGGCCAAGTTGGCGATGAGGAGGTTGGTGAGGTTGCGCAGTTTCTTGTAGCGGGCCAGGGCGGCGATGAAGACAAAGTTGCCGATGCCGCAGACCAGCACGATCCCAATCAGTGCCACACCGATGACAATCTTGGCCGCAAAGAAGGTGCGGGTTTTGGTGACATCATCTTCCTCGTCCAAGGGGAGGTCGTAGTCGCTGTAACTGAAGTTGAAGGGCAGTGAGAAGTTGTGGTAAGGGTCGAAGTCCCCGTTGTAGAGACTGTAGATGGCGGCAAAGTTCGTGCTCATGGCCGTCTCGTTCACGCGAGGATGCCCATCCTGCCGCATGGTGCCGCCATGGCCTCCTCCCATCCTCACCGAGGTCTCTAACTCCCCTTCTCAATATTTCCCGAGAGTTGCTTTCCCTAGGAACGGCTGTCTGATGAATCGCTCTGTCTCAGTGCCTCCATTGTGCGAAGCAATCAAGTCCTTTCTTGGCTTTAGAA